CCCCCCCCCCCGCACGGTGTACAGCCCCCTGCAGCAGTGGCTCTTGGGCACTCAGGGCCTGTTGCTGGCAGCGCCCTCCCAGCTATCTGAGACCCAGTGCCACCTGTGCCACATGGTGAGGGCCTGGCCTGGCCTGGGGATGTGCGCCTTCAGGCAGGTCCGGGCCGCTCTTGCTGTCACGCAGGGGCCATGCATCGGGCTGGGCAGGTCCTGCCTCCAAGTGCCACACATGCTGTTGGGCCGGCTGGCTCCACAGAGGCATGACATGGCTTGGCCCAACGTGTGGTCTCTGTGTCTGATGATGGGACCCCGGGTGTCAGCAAGAGCAGCCTGGTCCTGACTGAAGGTGCATTCCAGGAGCGTGTCCTGCAACACTTCTTTTCAGCATGTTTTTTTATACTGGGATTTCCCAGTATCAAACTTAAGAGTCCGTGCTGCAAATATGCAGCCAGGGAACATTTTTTTTTGTTCTCAGAGTGCCTCTTGTGCCATCGCAAACTGCTTTGAGGTGCTGCAACAGGCACACGTGCATTTGCCTGGATGTGCCCTTGGTGTTTTTGGTTGCTCCCTTCCCATGTTTTTCAGAAGCATTGGACATGTGTCACAGCTTGTGGTGGGAGTTTTGATAGGAGTATACTTGTTCCTCTATCAGTAGTTAATAGCCTCTTGGCAACCTAACTTGAGGGGCTTCCTGTTGAGGGTTATACTGATTGAAGGAGATGTCCCTCAATATCATTGTCACTGTGGAAGATTTACTTTTCTCTATAGCACCAGGCTTTGTTTTCTTTCTAAGATCATCTCAATATAGATATTAAATGTTAGTAACCAATAACTTCTCTCCCATTGCAGTGATAAAGCATTGGCTGTGACTGTCTGTCCTGCTTTTTATTTGCAACATGTTTTTGTAGGGTAATTTTTGTCCTGCTGTCTGTGGTTTATGAGAGGGGTCAGAGAAGATAAATTTTAGGAATCTTTGGATAAATAATGTCTTGGAACATGCAGACGCTGGACTTGATGGCCTGAGAGACCCCTCCCAGTCCTATATTCCAAAGACATGGAAGAGGTGGATTTGAATTCCTGGAGGCCAAGGAGAGAATTGAACTTTGGTGTTTGTTTCCTGACAGTATGGTCAACTCCTTGAATTCTTGTAGAAATGGGAACAGCATGACACTTCCTCATCTTCTCCTGGCCTTAGTGATCCCTGACTCCGGATGTAGGGCTCTGGATTCCATTCTAGGGTTCAGACACACAAAAATTAGGCATTGTAGCACTCAGCATCATGGCATCTAAGTTCTTTGGATCTAGCCCTGATTTCTTAAGACATTTTACAACAGAGGTGTATACAGTATAGTGAAGTAGTGCTTTTAGTAAAATATATATTTCATTTTCCTGTACACTTGTTGTTAAAGAAATATTTTTGTACATTATAACAATTCTTCCTAGATAAGCCAGCTGTGTAGTACTTACATGTTTAAGAATATGGGTGTGCTAACCTGTTCTCATTCGTTTCTATTGAAAAATGTACTTTATTGGTGCTTTAATGAAAGCCATGAATTTCTATTATGACAATACACTTGTTCCTACTGTTAATAGGTAATTCTAGTCTATTCCTTGTTGGGAAAAATAATGTGTTACTATGTAATGAATTTTACTGTCTCATAGGTGATAAAAGTTTACAAAGCTGCAGTACAGCAGACTTTGGATGTCCTCTTTCTTCCTGAAGGAAAAGAATTTCTTACAAGCACAGATGCAGTAAGCCGGGACTCAGCTGACCGTACTATTATTGCATGGGACTTCCACAGTGCTGCAAAAATCTCCAATCAGATTTTTCATGTAGGGATTAACTCTTATTCTTACTAGAATGCTGATTTAGTATATTATACTGTTGTCAAAGTAAAAAGCTTTTGATTTTCCTTAAACTGCTGTGAGTTATTGATCAATTTTGTTTCAAGTAGAGATGAGTGTAGCTTATGTAAGATCACAGTACTTCAGCATGTTTTAACTAAACTTTACAATATCACTGTGATGTTGAAAATGCTGCTTACAATATGGCAAAAGCTATATTTTCATATTGGTAAACCCTTATTCCCTGTAAGTATGAAATTCCCTAGAGTATTGTTAGCCACCCTCCTTGGAAAATGTTTCCATTTCAGTCCCTGTTCACTAGCATTAGAGCTAAGTTAAGGCAAGTACATAGTGGGCGTGTCTACACGTGACACTATGGCGACATATCAATGCGGTCTGGCGACATAGCTTCCATAGGCATCTACATGTGACCAGCAGCTACATTGCCATATGGACATGCTCCCCTGTTATAGCGTGCCATTATGGTGAAATAGCTGCTAAAAATAACTGTGCATCATGCATATGGCACAGTATATGGGCTGTTACTGTGCCATGATTTAGTACTTCTGGAAGTAACAACATCACCATAGCGAAATGTTTAAATGCACCCAGCTAGCAATGTCAATCTGACTTGCCAATTGTACCATGGTAGTTGCTACCGTATGCCATATTTCCTTCTTCAGTATCTTTCCTGTGATATCAAAAGTGATATACTTGGAATAATTACAGATTAAATTTATTGAAGGACTCAATCAGTGAAATACACGAGCAATATTGTAGCATATATAGGTAAATATACAGCAAAGTAGTATAACAGAAGATATTAAATGGTACTGGCAAAAATTATTTTATCAAACATAGCTATTGTATTTCTTGCACTATGTGGCAATCCAAGTAAGGGGTTTGTTTATGTGCTGAATTGTCCAGGGAAGCTAAAAGATTGAAAGTAGTTGTACTGTAGTCTCCACAGTTGTCTAAATCCCTGATCTTCTTTTGAAAATCCTAGCCTAATATCTCATATAATTTGAAAGCTCACATGGCTAGCCTATATACATGTAGCTCTTTTTTTTTCATTAGAAAGAACAATTCTGTACTGGAAAGGAAATAGAAGAGAAGCTCTAATGGGACTTCTCCATCTTTAATTTCAAAAGTTTTATCTTTGTTTAGTTGAGGAGCAGCACACACTATAGGTTAATCAGCTATTCTAAGAAAAGGTTCAGTGAATAAACAGATTTTATAAGGGTTCTCTTCAATTATCTGTTCAAACAAGAGACCTCATTTAGAATTAGAGCATCATTGAATGGGTCACTTTACTCTCTAACATAACAATTAAAATGGATAATAATTTTGGTAAGCTGCCTTTAGTTTTCTGATGTTTAATTTCTAATTTCTTTGAGATGGAAATATCTCAACTTCTCTAATATGATGAAGCACTGATGTGAATACATTCTCTCTCCATTTTCACAAATAAATACTTACTTTGTGACCTAATGAACATATTTGTTCATTGACTTACTACCATGATATAGCTGAAACCATTTAAATTCAAACATTCTCCAAAAGACCTGCAACAAACATGAGGTCCCCCCACCAAAAAAACCAAACCTCACAAAACAAAAAACAAACCAAGAAGTTTAAGCCAAAAGTTTTGTCAATATTAAGAATGACTGAAAACAAAGAGCTATAGTAGAAAGTGGTAGGAAGCCTTAATAATAGGCTGCTGTGCTGTCTGTAATGTTTCTGTTTTTCATTCCTCCTTCTTTTCCACCTTTAAACTCTATTTTATTGTCTTTTCTGAACTTAAGACTCCCTCTGTGCGCCTTTCTCTTTTGTTTCCTTTCCCTAAATCTTTAAGCCAGTCCCTTTGTCTTTTTTTGTTGTGTCATCTTCTCATTGGAGGTGATAATTCATCATTCCTTTTTAAACTGTTTTATCTTTTTCCTCTCTAGCCTTTGAAAGAGTATAATGCCCCTTTCACCAAAAGATATAATCCCAAGCATTCTTTATTGTTCACAGACTAAAATGTAGATTTAAAAATCAATTTTTGCATCACAACTATAGAAGAGCATCCCTTGGCATATTAGGGGCTAGGGGAAGAAGAATTTTGGATTTGTATCTCTGAATTGAAAATGCTGCTAATGACTTTGGGTTGAAACTAAAATCAGAGGGGTCCTTTTTTGGCCTTATTCTGGATCTGGTCAAAGCCTCATGAGAGTGGTTGATCTCAGAGTTTTCACCATTCAGAATTCTGAACATTAGCCTTAATTCAGTCTGAAATCTGAGCATTGGCTTAAGGCTGTTGTGAATCAGCAACCATGTAATCCTTCTTTAACTACAGCTGCCATTCCTGAAACTACAACTAGTAGAAGTTTTGGTTAAAAGTGCTATCATTTGTGATTACTGACCTTAGTAGGTTTAGAAGGGCCAGTTATAATTAACAGACCATTTTCTTCCTAATACAAAAGGCAGCAGTTATCTTTTACTACGTAGTAAATTTTGCTCCTGTTCCTGTAGTCAGAGAAGATCCTCTTGTGTCAGAACTTCGTGTCAGCACCGACAGGATAGCTAAGGCTACCTAGGGAATATGTCCAGTGTCATGAGGACACATAGGAAAAATTTAAAGCAGCAATAGAGGACTTACTGCTTAATGGAAATATTAGCTTTCTTTGGCCAGTAGAAGCTGCTTGATTGTTTTGGGGCTCAACCTGTCTTTGCGCAGCAACTATGCTGTTCTTTTATGGTCCTTGGGAAGGCGGGATCTTTGCTTAGTACCTGGCTTATTCTACTACTTTAAATGGAAACCAAACGGAAAATTGGCTCGTGAATTTTCAAGAGAGTGTATTGAGCAAAATGGGCATTGTTTTTAAAAAAACTTTTTTAGCTGCTATCTATCTGAAATATGCCAGTTCTCTCACCTAATAATTGTTCTGACATGTCAAATCTACAAAAGTTTGCCTGACTCATTTGAACAAGTTGTGTTTGATGCAAAAAAAAAAAAAAAAAAGAGGCAATGTTAATCTTCTAAATTGTTTTTTAGGAGCGTTATACCTGTCCAAGTCTGACCTTGCATCCTAAAGAATCTACATTTGTCGCTCAAACAAATGGAAACTACATGGCACTGTTTTCTACCCAGAGGCCTTACAGAATCAACAAAAAGAAAAGATATGAAGGGCATAAGGTACTATTCTTTACTTAAACTTATTAGTAGTCAAGCCTATAAGTAACATAATTTGTCTGTTGATACCACTGATTTATAAACAAAGATATTTACTGACCTGTATCTTCTGCTGTCTTATTTTTTCATAATTTAGTTAATTAAAAACCAGGGGCACTAGAAGTATGATGGAGATTAACATAATTTAAAAGCTTTGTGAATTGTTAATAGCTTTACCAGTTACTGATTGAATAACATTAATGGTTTAAAATCTACATTCTGTGTTTTGACAAACACCTGAGGAAATATTTAAGTATACTGTATAAAAGGGATATAGAACTTTCTGCATTTTTAGAAATTAAACTTCTCTAGTTAGCACCTTGATTTACAGTCTTATCCTCAACTGTTACAGGTGGAAGGATTTGCAGTGGACTGTGAATTTTCTCCAGATGGGGCTCTTCTACTGACAGGAAGCTCAGAGGGCAAAGTATTTTTCTATAACTATCACACTGCTAGAATCATTCACACTTTATCTGCACATGACCAGGCCTGTGTGAGTGCAACATTTCACCCAGTCCTTCCATCACTACTTGCCACATGCGACTGGGCTGGAGAAATTAAAGTCTGGCAATAACTGTGCTGAGTTCTTTTTCAAATGAATCAAATGAATCTAGCCAGTCTGTATTGGATGTATGGATGCCGGTGCTTCACCATCAATTCATGTTGCACACATCAATTTATTTTTCCTGTGAATATCAAGCGATCTGTTGTCATTTTTCATATTCCTTCTAGGATTTCTAGGGTAAGGTTTTCAAATAGACTAGGTCAAGTAACAGTGGGTGCATCTACACGAGATGCTTCAGGCATAGCCAACTAATTCTATTGTGCATTAGCGCAGTGGGCAAGACCTATGCTAATGAGCAGTAGATATAGCCTACTATATATTAATGTTCAAAGACTGTTCATTTGAACTAATGCGCAGTAGTGCCAATTACGGTGCATTAAGTTAGTACCTGTCATTACAGGTACTAAACTTAATGCGCTGTAATTATGGCATATTAATGAATGTATAGACAAGTCCACTGTGTTCTTGAAATTTCACCTCTAAACCTCTTTTATATTAAACCTAATCTTCTTACTGTGTTCCCAGTTGGGTTAAAAACAGATTTTTTTGTGAATATGAACGTATCAAAAATTTAAAATGAACTTCTCACATTAATGTTAGGGTCTGCTGCTTAGAGTCTCACTTCCTTGGTGCTCTTGCCTGTATAAACATTGGGGAACCCCAGCAGGGGCAAGTCTCAGGAAAACGGATAATACTTCAGCTTTTTATAACAGCATCTTCCAGCCCAAATGCAACACCGGGGAGGAAATTTCACCTAAAGATTACAGGAAGGGGACCAGCTCTTCTATAAATATCTGTTGATTCTTTTAATGTGCATCTTACCAGCTACAGGCTTTGGAAAAGATCCTCAGATGGTGTTAAATTGTCATAGCGCCACTGAAGGGAAGTATAATAGTTATGGGCCTATTCAAATCAAGGAAGAAGGTGGCCAATTTGGCAGGCAGATCATGGAGCAAGCCACCGTTTTTGCAGGCTTATTGCAGCAGGGGCCCCCCCCCATGCCTCTGATTTGCTAAGGGGTTCTGGTAGGCCCACACCCCACTGCTGATTGGTTAAGTGGCGTGTCTGTCATAAGACCCCACCCCTTCACCATCAGTTGGTGGAGAGGGCTCTCCATCATAAGGCCCTGCCCCTTGCTGATGATTGGTGGAGTGGGGTGGGGCCACAAGACAGGCAGCCTTCAGCCAATCATTAGTGTGGGGTAGGGACGGCAACCATCGTGGTTGCCCCCCTTACCACTTCCCCCTGGCAGGCTGTGTGGCTGGGCAGCAGCAGCCATGAGGACTGCTGGCTCCCATGAGGGAGCCAGCAATCTATTTTTAGCATGTTTTCTTGCCCCCCACAGATGTTGCAAACATCACCTGATTTCACAATTTCTGTGAAATCTGCAACATTGCAAATTGAATTGGTGCCTAGTAATAGTTTGTACTACCTGAAGATCTGCCCCAAATACTTTTACATAGTCATGAGAGAAAGAGAGAGAGAGTGTGTGTGTTAGCGCACACATTTATGGGAGGGAGAAAAAGTTCAGCTTAGTGCATTCCATTATCAACTTTGAAATCTGAGATATGCCAACTTTAGAAGTGTACAGCGGTGTAGTAGCTTGAGTAAGTGGGGGTGACTGGGACACGAGACCAGGAGCTGACTTGGGAGGGGAGCATAAAAATAGCAGCTGTGAAGCTGCTGGCTCTATTGCTGTGACCACTGTTAGTAGCCTGGCTGCAGCTACTGCCTCATGTACTGCAACCACACAGAGCTGGAACTGTCCAGTTATGCCCCTGCACATATGCAGTGTCTATGCAGAAGTTTCCTTTCAGTTTTGATGTTTGCTGAAAGCATATGCCTTGTGTGTTGGTGCTGATGCTGCTTTTAATGTGTAAGGAGAACTCAAGAGTATTAGTTTTTTGGTTAATTGAATATATCAGGGTGCTCAATCCCTGACCCATGGGCCAGATCTGGCCCCTTGTCATCTAGCCTGCAGGGTTCCCTAGGTCCATGGGGAGCGCCGCAGGCCATGCATGCAGGGCGGTGCAGGACCCAATCCCAGTGCGTGGGGCCAGGCAGGGCAGCACATGGCCCTGGATGTGGGGACAGGTGGAGGTGGCATGGGGTTCTGGGGCCCTGACCTCTGTACACAGGGTCCCAGGGCCCTAGTCTCCACAAAAGGGATCACACAGAGGTGTCATAGGGCCCTGGAGCTTTGATTCCAAAATGTGGGGCTTGGTGGAGGTGGCATGGGGTCCTGGGGCCTCATTCCTGACATGTGGGCCAGCTAGTCCAGATCCATGCATGTAGGCCTGAACCTAGGGCATGGAGTTTGATCCAGCCTGCAGCCTGGCCCCACCCCAGCCCCTTCTTCCTCCCTGGGACCAAAAAGTTGAGCACCACTGGACTATGTGACCTGAAATGTAATAGACTGTTTTTAACCATGTTAACTGAATGCTTCTTTTTTATTTTAAATCTTGCCTGAGGCTTTTTTTAACTACATACTGCTGTAGTTTTTCATATTTTATGAAATATGTCTTATATTTTGCAGTCCAGTTGTAAATCCATGTACTTTATCATGTATATATGTACATATGGAATATGCTTGCAATATACCTGAGACCTGTCTAAAAAGAAGTAAACATATAGATATATGTTCATGGTATTTACATATTTTAAATTAATTTTAAATTATCTGATACAAAGTAGGACTTAGCATATGGTATATTTTTCATTCAAATAGTAAAGCATCTACTTAAAAAGCAAAATTAAAATAAAAGCTTGAGTGCCATGAAATAAAAGCTTGAGTACAGCAAATGAAGAAATTTTATAAATGCCTTGACCACATCCTGTTGAGCTCTAGTACAGTCAAGGTGATCTCAAATGCTTGGAGTCATTAAGCACCAAATAATTCTCATTTTACTCACTGCAGCAAGTGCTACCAAGTGATACTTTTTGCCTGAGCAAGGAAAGCATGATTTAGCTATGAGAAAATAAATGGGTAGACTTAAATATATTTTATAATAAAGTATCAGTATTTTTAGCTGTTCTGCCTTGGGTTGAGTACAGGGTTTCATGTTTCAGCTGCAAGAATTGCAGTCATCACTGTGATGTAGAGAAATATGAACACCTCTCTTCATCTACCATTTGTCTTAGGCTTTTATAATATGTCTCATCCCTTTAGGGGTTAATTGAGACAGCAATTTTGGCAGTTCAAACACAGCACCCTATATTCAAACCTTTGTTTACTTTTAAAACAAGCTTGTTTGCAGTGTCAGTCTCATGACAGCAGTCTCTTCAATTGTTATACTGGAAAATAATCTCTACTTGTGCAGAGTGCCTTTAATTTTTGCAGCGCTTTGCGTGAGCATTAAAAGCTATCTGATAACAGACTCATGCATTTAGAGTAGTGGTTATCATTGTGTGGTTGTGGACCCCTCAGGCTTTCCAGACTATGTCTGAGGGGTCTGTGAAAGATGACTATGATCAGTCAAAAGCATATGAATACCAACGCTTAGAATTCAAACAGGTCTGGACCTCCATTCAAAATTGCCAAAGGGGTCTGCGCCTCTATTCAAAAATTTTTAGGGATGTGCAAATGAAAAAAGGTTGAAACCCACTGATTTAGAGTGAGACTTAGGTTGAATTTAAGCACATAATTACAAAAAAAAATTGTGATCCTGAAAACCCCTGCACAGCTATCACCTCGGAGGTACCTAAACACCATTTAAAATTAAAAAGTTCCCTGTGTGCTAAGAGTTGCATCGCTATGCATGCCCAGAACTGCCTCACTGAGAGTGGCTCAGTTCTTAGCTCATACCAAAGTTTGATCAGAAACTAGGAGTTCTCTGTCTAAATTCCCTGGGGAGTTCAGTCCACACTTAGCAGATGTCGCCAGTAGCGAGCCAATTCAAAATGCAGTGATGCTGCTTCTTTCAAAACATGAGCAGAAGAGGTGCTAGTCATAACCACATTTGGCATAATACACTATTGGTTACAATACTCATCCAGGAGGTGGGGGACTTTCTAAGCCTTCTTCAACCTGAAACGTTTAAACTTACATCTGTGCCAACCACTTTACTGTACATAAGATCTGAGAGAGGACACTCCAGTCCTCTTCTATTGAAGCTGGGCCACAGAGCAGCAAAGAATTCAAAACGAACTGGTCCAGAGACAGAGCATGAGTGACCATAATTCAGTAACTTGGTAATTAGAGCACTCACCTGGAAGGTGATCCCAGGTTTCAGTTTCTGTTCCCATGACTGATTATACATTTTAGTCAACACAAACAATTGCAATCCCAGAAAATAGTAAAAGTTTTATTTAAAAGAAATTGAAATGTTAAATATATGGAAATACACAACTAAGATACCCAAACAGCGTTTGACCCTGTCCTGGAAACATGCCAGGAAGGGAAAATATGAAAAGACCAATGCATAATTATAAATCAGATTAATCTAATTAGAAATCAGAGACACTAAAACACTTTACTCTCAGGGTGATATTGTAATTGCTTAGTGTCTCTGCAGTGAAGGGTTAAGATTGTTGGAACATCCTAACTATGTATATCTGTATGTAGTTTTAATCTGAGTTTCTTGGATTTGAATTGCTTGGTTTGGGGATAATCCAGTGTATTTGCATTACTACTTCTCTGCAAAAAGTAAGGACCCAATATCATGTGAATGTAATATCTTTGCCTTGCAACAAGTATGATGATTTTGGTTTGTATTTGACAGTTTAACCTAGGAAAGTATTTAAATAGAATGTGCTCATTTTGCACAGTAAATTGTCTCTTTTATATGATGACAGATCCATAAAGTGTGTATAATATTTAGAAATTCTTTTTCAAGTGTACCATTGTGTTATTCCACTGATTTTATCTTCCTATCCAGAAATATAACAGTTCATTGCCATTGTTAATGTTCTCAGTTTAAGACAGCTTAAAATGATCCTTTTATGAGAAGGATCCATAGTAATGATCTGGCAGATGGATATTTGAGTAATTACAAAAAACTGGAATAAGGTGCTTTAGCAAACACTTTGTGTTCTGTTTGCTTGCAGTTCATGTACTTCATAGCTTACATTTAGAAATAAACCTGGATCCAGAAGCCCCTGTATTATTAGATCATTAGAAATTGGAGCTGTCTTATAATTTGTTTCCCAGTGACTCCAACAAATGGGTTATAATTTGAATCAAAGGTCTTGAATTTGAGCAAGCCAGGCAACATATTTCAACACTCAGTTTTTCAGATTTTTTTTCAGTGCCCTGTTAGTTTTTAGTACCACGCGTTATACAGTAGTCTAGAATTGTAATGTCTGTAGGAAGTCCTTCATTTTCTCTGTCTCTGTCACAGGGGGATGGGCACCTTTAAGGAGGGATGGGCCTAGTCCCACCTGAGACCATGAAGGATCTGTGGGATTTAGGGGTTAAACAATAGCTTGTGGAGCACTTGGTCTTTACAAAGGCTAACAAGAGCTGAAGAACTGTGGGAGAAGGTAGACTTGTATAACAGGCCTTAGAAAAGGCGACAGAAGCTAGGTGCAGGTCTAAAAAGTTGTTCAGCTGCTGAACTCCCTGTGAGAATCAAGCACCCAACCAATGTTTTGGATCTGGCTCCTAGCTAGAATGTGACAGCCTGGTGACTGCAAACTGTACGAAGTAGTTAGGCTCCTGTGGGAGTCCCATGGTCAGAATTGTCCCAGCAGGAAGGTCTGGAAAGGGGAAAGAAAAATCTCTTGGAGTCATTGTCCTTGTGGGGCAGATTTACTATTATTAGGGATCTACTAAAATTGTATTTTCACATTTTTCAGGGAGAGCAAGAAATCCCCCACATTTCTGGAAGAGCAGGGAAAATGTCCTTCCTAGCTGAAATTGGTGCAAAATCGCCTTGGGGGAGGGGAAAAGAAGAAAAAAAACTTAATGGAAGAAAACAGCAGTACGCAGGGAGAAAAGGAAAGCATGAGAAACCTTCCCCTGCAGCACAGAGGCCCCAGGGAAAGTACAGGGTGTCCCAGCCTGGCTCAGTGATTGAGCTAGTCAGTATGCTGATTAGCCCAATCACTGGGCAGCGCGGGAGCCTGGGAGGATTTTAAGCCATAGGCTGGCTGCTCTACTTAAGATCAGGATGAGCGGAAAGACAGTCCACAAAGCAAAGCACATTTCTGCCACGGATCATGTAAAGCAGTACCCTGAAGGCACTCTTCATGCAGATAGTGACAAATTATTCTGTTCAGCATGTAATGTCACTTTGGATCGGACCTTAAAAACACTATTGTTCAGCATTTGGAATCAGAAGGGCACCTGAAGAAGAAAGCTTCAGCAGATGCTGAGGGACAGAGCAGGAGGTGGACCACAATGTTATCTATGTTGAAGAGGGTCACAGACAGCAGTACGGCCTGAAAAGCGGCTATCTTGCTTTAGTCAAGGCATTCACAGCTGCAAACGTTCCTCTGCAGAAACTCAACAACCCCGTACTACAGCAATACTTTCTAATGGGGGAAGTCTTCCATGTGCCATCAGGCTCCACCAGGGATATCTCACTGAAGTGATAGCTACACACATCCACTCCACAAATGGTGCAGTGAGCAAATATGACACTTTCTCCATAGTGGTGGATGAAACCAGCAACACACAAGATAATTATGTCCTGCACATTTGAATTGTTGCTGGTAGCTGGACAGATGGCAACCTGTCTGTCCTTCAAACCAGGCCAGTCCACCTAGAAGCTGTCAGTCATTCCATAGTTGTGACCTATGGCTTAGAAGTCAACAAGATCTCAGCTTTTCTGTCTGATAATGCTGTGTACATGAGCAAGGCATTCTCTGATGTCCTCCATGGACAAATGCAGGTGACATCTGATGGAAGTCCCTGACGTGGATAGCCTGTTGACTTCCTTTAAGACAGCTTTCAAGCACTGTCCAGCTCACAAGCTCCAGTATCGGATGTCCACTGCTGCTCAAACCAGGAAGCTACCTACAACTGTGGGACTTGCACCAGAGCCAGTCCTGACCAG